CTTCGATAGTGTCATCCTCTGGTTTTGTTAAACGCGAATCATCTAAATCCTGGCGGTCGTCCACTTGATCGACGTCGATAATGGTATCGCCGTTGGGATCACTGTCTTTGGTTGAATTTGGTTGTTTGGTGGAGGGTCGCGTAAAGGTCCTGATCAAAGAACCGTCAGTAGCACCTTCCAAACTCCACAACACTTGGCCGGTATACCGGTCGACACCGTGCAGGTTGCCATCCAGTGTAGAAATCAACACCAAGTTAACGGGACTCAGGTCAAGTTTAGGAAGCGGAGTATTAACAACACTCACTAAACGTTTAAAGTGCAGTGGACGAAGTTGTATGAGATCTTTAGAGTCAAGTATTGACTTGGCACAGGAAAAAATGATAAGAAAAGAGATAATAAAAAGCGCCCACAGAAAAAGAGAGCGCATAAGAGAAATTTCAAATCTGCGCTGCCTCATCGTTTCCGGTCCAATATTGATAGGGAATACATGCAATCAAAGAATGTAGAATGTAGTATGTTAATTTCTCCAAAAATGTCCAATAAAAGTGCACTTTAGAATTTCTGAGTAGAACAAGCCAGCGAGAGTTTTTAAAAAAAAAAATTTTTTTGATTGACGATTGCCACCCACTATACCTTCATACTAATAATTAACGAACCCCGTGATCTTTTCGTGGCTAATCTCATGCAGAAACTTATTATGTTTGTCACATTTTTTATTGAGAATGACTTTTCATTTCCAAATCAAGATGTTGCTGATTCTTTAGAGTTTTTGTACAATTTTCAACAAACATGAATACTAGGTTGATAAAATATTCTTGGTAGTAAATTTATATGTGATAATTGTCATGATTTATAATTATGATTATTTGCGTGATTTATTTAAGTTCTGTATTGTTTAACAATGGCAGACTTGGAAGGCGCTGGAAGAATTGACGTGTGCCGGTCCTTCCGATCACGTGACTAGAATCGGTGACTGAAAATGCGCAGATTTCAAAGTCACGAATTGATTTTCAACCGGTTGCAAGATTAAAAATATATATACAGTATTGCTTCTAAAAGTTTGATGCCACTTACTATGTTTTTATTATAAATTTTAACTTTATTCATTTTTAAATCCTAATTATACAATTAAGAATTATAAAATTCATATACTGTATGTATATTATACTTTATACTAGTTTCATTTCTTATATTTTTTCAAAAATTTTTTACATGTAATTTTTAAAATTTATTATTGTTAAAAAAAAAAAATAATAATAATATTTATAATAGATTTAAAAATTGGTAAAATCAAAATTTACCATGAAAAACATAATAAGTGAACTCAAACTTTTGAAAGCAACAATACATATTTTCTATGAATTCAAATTTTTACTTTTGATTAATAGAATGCTGGATTGCAAACTATTATTTAAAGCAAAGTGTTTTAATGAAAAATAGTGTTCGAGAATATATTAGACATTGTGCGACTAATAAATGTATTCTATATGATTCTATTTTTTTTTAAAAATTAAAATTTTCTGTTCCATTTGATTACATCGAGTGCGCATGTTTAAAATAAATATTTGTGATATTCTATTAATTAATATATGGGTAATTTTTTTTTTTTTTAAAGTTCGAAATGTTTTTGTTACAAATGCTAAGGGAAAGAGAAGAGCGCATGCAGTTAAACTCTAAATCGTCGAGATGTGTCACGATCCACTCATGTGACTTGAGATGCTGAATGCTTTTGATTATCATCCTCCTCGTGAAATAGAAATCCAAAGCTCGAAATGCAATTTTTAAGCTGCATAACGGTAAATTTCAGATCATTTGATTTAAAAATGCTCATCTTTTCCGCCCGTTAAATCGCCTGTTCCCTGAAACTTAGCGTAATCCATTTCGCTCTCTCAAAACCGCGGCAAGTCATATAACCCGAGGAAATGTGATTGAATATAAAAATCGGCATTTTGTTGTGAGTAGAATAGAGTCTCACTGGACGGGAAGAGGCTCCGCGGCGATGAAAGTATCGTATCACCTTTGCACAATATGCAAGATTATTTCGCCGGCACATTTAACACCACCATTTTCTCGCAGTTTGAACTGAAGGATGTGATAAATGGTCAAAAATCGACGGAGAGAATTAGGCCGACAGAATCTTTTGAAGGTTTCCCCTTCTGCAATGTTTTGTCACGTGATGCAAGGCAGCGATAACATTCATAATCAAAACTACTTTTTCACCAGTGGTAACCGTCAAAGAGAAGAACTATAGATATTTATATTCCGATAGAAACACCTTGCACCTCTTGGACCCAGAGACGTTGGATCAAATCGAGATAGGTTCGGATAAGCTCGATGGTATGATTGCGCGGGGCCTGGACGAGAGTTATAAAGTGGAAATTAACGTGTCTTCCCCACAGGTGGTGAAAGGTCGCTGAAATTATTGGACGGTAAGCTAGAGCGAACGTGTGTGAAACCTCCTTCTCATCAAAGTTACCCATGCATTCAACTGAGTCGACGCATTTAGACGACATGAACTTAACCGTTGCCTCTTTGGAGACGGAGGAAGGCGATCGTGTAATATCCGCCCGTCTACCTCTGACATACGCTTACGAGGTTGTGTCCAATACCCCGAACGTCGGGAGCTCCTCCAAAGGTTTGTGATCCCGACACTTATCGGCAACCCGATCAGAGAACTTGCTAAATGATCCGTTGCTTACAGGACCGGCCCAAAAGACCGTCGAAATAAAAGGTGGAATTCAAGTTCAGGTGCCAGAGTTTATTAACGTGGGAGAAAAGATTGTCATAACCTTGAATGATATCAAATATTGCAAAAGAGCATAGAACAGTTCAAGTCAATAAAGCAAGCAGCATTCAGTCTTCATGCATAAATGTCATCAGATTACAGTGTATATGTGCCGTATATAAGGTTTATTTTTTGATGCATTAGAATAATCTTGGGAAAATCGTTTCGCAGTAAATCGAGAATACACGATCATTTCACAAAAAAGCGTTACGGTTGACAAGATAAATGCGCGTTCAATTTGCGCAAACGTCAAATTATCACGTGTTTGCTCCACGACACCTTCCCGTGAAGAAGGGGAGAGGTGACAGATGGTCGAGCGATTCCGCATACACGGAGAAAAGATTCGATACAATGCATACAGTATATATATTATGCGCGTATTTGTGAGATAAAAAAAATTTTTTTTTTTTAAGTACAAAGGTAAAATTCTAAAAATACAATTACTTCAATATTAATTACACTTTTCCTTTCGTGCCGCGCAAATGAATCCCTTTCTAATATCGTCTGGGATAAGAATTGCGGGAACACCAAAGAAAATCGTGTGCGTACATCACACGGTATAAATAAGGTAAAGCAGAAGAAAGTAATAACAGTAGTGGTAAAAATTGATTGTATGTACTACGTATGGAAATAAATAGTTGTCTATTTTCGACGGAAAATACATTTGTTTTGTGGATTATAAAAAAAAAGTTCATGCGTTCTCCCTTATCACTATTTTACAATTAATTACTTTGAATTATACTACTACTCCTCTTTTTAAGCCTTTATTATTATTATCATTAGTCCTCTAAAGTCCGCTGGCTAGCTATAGTTTTTATCACGCTCTCCAAAGTGTTCAATACCACCTCTTCTCACTTATTGTAATTCAAGTACCAAATGGTCAATTCTAGTATCCCGGCAATCAGTAATAACGAAAGTACAGACATCAGTCGATTATACCTTTTCCATCGACGGTCCGTCATACCGCTTGAATGCCTGGGAAAGAACGAACCAAACCACCAGAGAGGCGGCAAAAGAAAACCCAACATGAACAGCACCGACCCATACGGGCATACCACGAATTGTTCAGGGGGAGTTCTAAGACGTGTCTTGGGGTGTAGGTTCGGATTCACGAAATAGTTCTTTCTGGTCTCTCTCCATGCCGAATCCTGGCGTGTCAACTTACCCTTTCTAGCCTTCCTCTTGGATTTTGGCGATTGACTACTCTTTTGTTGGGTTGATGATGATCTATTGCTACTGCCATCCTTGCTACTCTTACTATTGTTATTATTGTTGTTGCCATTGGGAGACCCAGAACCGCCAGCAGCTGCCGAAGTCGAAGCCTCCGGCAGTATTATGTCCGGATCCGAGGGATCCTTGTTATTAAACAATTGTTGCTGATAGTTACCAGGGTGCGAATAGTATTCATAAGTCCACGAGGGTAATGAGCCTGAACCGGACGAAGCCTGAGATTGCCTTTTATCATCAGAATCCATTCGCATCACATTCAATTCTATGCTTTTCCCCTTGTCCAATATGGACGCGGGTATTTGATATTCGTGAAGTGATCTCTCCGGATCAATTGGGGTCATCGAAGTGTGAGTGGAAGCCGCGGTTGATTTGTCAAATGCGAAAGAGAGCTGGGTGGATCTACTTATTGTCCTCGTTTCTTCCACTTTTAATATTGGAGGTTTGGTCGGTTGTCGTGTTGTCTCTGCCAGTTGGTAGTCGTCAGCCGCCTCGGCACTGGAGGTGGGTCTCGTGGAAGAACCGGTGTCGGTCCCATACCCTCGTTCCTTGAGTAAATTTTCGGTAACTTGATAGTGCCAACTGCTTGAAGCACGGTCGGAAGGGTGATACGTGGAGGAGGGAGGAGGCAGGCGCCCCGAAA